TTAGGCTATTTCAAGTTAAGAAATCCCATCCTAAAATACATTGCAAAGGTTGTAAAAGATAGTCAAGCACTAGAAAGTTACCTGAGTACGAAAACGAACCACTTTCACTAGTATATGTCAGGGGCCAAAGATGTACTAGTAAGCGCCTTTTTCCTTTACCAATTTCGTCTAAAATCAAATTGAAAAAAAAACTTAATTTCCGGAATACTGCAAGATAGTTAAATATCTTTCAACAATTATTAAAAAATCACTGTCTTTCTTTCTCAGTTCTTTAGTCTTCGAACTGTTGCATGTCACACTAAAAATCCTTAACCTCGTGTTATTTGTTAAATCTTCTGAAACTATTTAGTATTTATACATTCAGATATTCAGATAGTGAAGAGTTTTCAGGCTAAAATTCCTCGGATTTAGAACTTATATCGTGAATTTAATTTCCAGCAGTTTTTAGAGTTAACACCGAATAAGTAATTATCTCTCCAATTCCTATCTACTATTTACTCTATGATTAGCAGGAGTGCGTTTATTAGAGAGGCAATCTTTATCAAACCCTATTCCTGTGTCTGCTGAGCAACTAAGTAATTAAGTTACTGACTCTGAGAAACAAGGAAAGTTTTACATGTTTTATAAAACTGCAAGATACACTTTGTCGTGATTGTGTGCAAACCATTCATTCAGGGGTCAGAGTGAAGTAACACAACATGCGAAATTTCAGTTGTTGCTCCCTGTCTCCATTCGAAAATGGCCTAGCTGGCGGAGTGCGTGAAAAGATTTGTTGAAAATCTAGAAAAATGAATAGCAAGATTGATAAAGTAAGAAAATCTGATGCTAAAAAAAGATGGAAGCTTTTAGCTCAAAACTTGATCAAGTCAAAGACACACCGTGAAAACAAGGACGACTATACAGAAGAAAGCAGCATCTCTGTGAGGAGGTTTAAAGGCTTTGACATTTTTCAATATAAAAAAGAGCGGGAAGATGAACATGGTGTGTGGTATAAGGTGGAAAGCGAAAAACATCTGAAGTTAAAAACTCCAAGTATAAGGTTAGTGTGATCGTAGAAATTCACATGAAACTTGGGTCTTAAGCTTGAATAACCCAGATTTGTCCGAAGCTCAAAAAAAGCAAAAGCTCCCTCAAGAGACTTTCTCCAACCCAAGGTTTGGAAAACCTTTGATTTTTAAGTTAAGTGAAATCATGCGTCTTGAACACAAGCATGAAAAAATTGCATCAGAGACTTTTCCATTTGATCGCTAGTCAAATGAAAAATCTGTAATGGCAAATTATCAGGTAATTAAAAGGGATTAATTCCTGCTGCTTCGTGCAACTTCAAGCAACTTTTAAAGTTATTTACACGACCACAGTCTGTGATCACATAAAAAATGTGACAGAAATTTTACCTGAATATGATCCTGTAAACTGGCCTTAATCCCAGATGCAGAAGTCACAAGGTGTGGTCACATTGAGAGGAATGACCAGAACACTGTTTGGTAAACATAGCTTGTCAGGGTCCTAAAAACTACCCTTTGATTGCTAGTAAGTAACAAATACTAAACAAATACAAATTATACCCAGTGCTACCTAATCAAACCAGGGTTAAATTTTCTAAAAAACTGAACACTTCAAGATCAGGCTGAGCACCCCAAGAACACCCTAAGAACAAGCCATCAAATCCCCATTAAGCAGCTGAACACCCTTTAAAACATATCAAAATTGACATATTGTTCAAAAAATAATTTAGGGCAGGAAAATGGCTGATAAGTCTAGTGCTGTTGGTGTTGTTTCAACCAACTGTTGTTTAGCACCCCAAAAGTGTGAAGGGGCGTTTATATATGCGGAGCAAATTTAAGTTGGACTTCCTTATGCTCCATTTGTGCATTCAAGTAATTTCCTGTTGTTTTGATAATCTTGCACATCCAGTGAGAATGAATGGTGTAAAAATACCACATGTGACTTGACTACCCATTGTCCTCCAAACAATTGTTCATCTCATCTGTTAATTTGCCCATATGGTCACAGCTAGAACAGAAATGAACTATTCTGTGGTCACAGTATGCTAATAGAGCTAGTGCACTATCATTCTGCAAGCAGAATG